TCTGTTGATATTTTGTCCCTGTGATATCATTTATTGTTTGCTAATGTTGAATTGGTGCTTTACTACTTCAACCAAGGATTGAAATCATAGCCACTAGATGAAAATAAGACATTTATAAGGACCTCCTATATCCACTATATCACTATCCTGAAGGACATTAGCAGTTTGTTTTTTGGAGCCTTTTATTTTCAGTGTCATATGGTTTTGACATTTGGTTATGATGCCAGGTTCATACCGCCTTTCATAAGCTTATATAATATTAATGATACAGAGCTATTTCTGCAACCACTGATATACTTTATAATTTTTGTCTGACCTCTAGAATTCAGCAGTTGCAAAAGTGAGAAAAGTTTCCAGGCCTCTGGGCAACCAATCAATGATTATATTTCTTTTTCAAGAAACCAATCAGCAGTTGAATGAGTTCTTGAAAAAAATGGTCTTTGGAGTGTTATAAGTTTCACAGTCACAAAGATCCTTTCTCTTGTTTTCTCCCTCTTTTTATTTGATGGAATATAACACCTTCCCAATTATATGTAATATTGCACTATTACAGAGTTAGGTTTGGTACAAGTACTGGTAGTCTACGGCTACAGACACAAGATACCTGAATATAAAACCTGGGGAAATATTTTTTTTAGTCAGTTATTGGAGTAGACTTGGGTGTTTTATATGTTATTATGAAACTTGTTTTGAGAGAAACAAATCTATAGCAGAATTATTCATATTTTCTGTCTAAATTTCTAACCAATGTACACACCAGTCTAATTTAGGTGTCTGTTGATCAAGGTAACCTGTTGCAGTTTTGAATAAACATACGACAAAGAAAAAGGTGAAAAAGATTTTTAAATATAAAAATATAAAATATTTTTATTTTCATGTTTTTACAACTAAATTTTTCTCAGCATGTACAAGTATTAAAGTTCCTTGTTTGTAATTGTTTGTTACATGAAAAAAAATGTGATTTCTTTGTGTGTATGTGTGAGAAAGAGAGGCAAATGAGGAAGTGAGCAGGAAATTGTAAGTGTCATGTAGTTTGGTGAGGAAGAGTGTAAGTGTCATGTAGCGTTAGTTAGAAAAAGTGTACATTTCATGTAGCTTGGTGAGGAAGAGTGTAAGTGTTACATAGCTTGGTGAGGAAGATGTGTGAATGAGTAAGGGAATCTGTTTGAAGCCATGCTGTGAACTGATGTTGTATGTATCCATCTCTGTCTCCTTACTTTTAGAGACATTAATTATATAATCTTCAAAGGGATCACAAAGCATTTTTTTTTTATTGTCGGTGGGATTATGTTAAATATTTATCTTCAGATATTTTCTGATTACTCTTCTTTAGTTCTTGCTCCTTAGCAATGTTTCTGTTTATAACTCTTCCACACCCAGTAACACCTTGTGTCTCTGTGGCTTTACTACCTTGTATGGAGTGAACTCTATTAAAAAAAAAAAAAAAAAGAGAGAGAAAATGGTTATGGTTCATTAAGTTGAGCTGTTAATACTTTCAGCTTTCAATTAAGAAATATGACGACATTCACTTAAAACCAAAAATATCTCTTTTAACAATTATTTTAAGAATTGTTAAAATTTAATGTCTCTATATCAGATTTCCAATGTGCTATAATTGTTGATCAGAGGACTGTGTGGTTCTGTTCTTATTTTTTTGATTGTGAAATTCCTTAATACATGTTCCCCTGGAATAAGGAAAACCCCTGAAAGATACCTGTCTTGTAGATATATTAGACAGATACGTGGTATATAATTGTTCATAATGAACAGTTTTACAAAATCTGAAAGCATACAAATGTTTTCACACAATGATATTCTCTTTTGATGTTCCCATTAACAAAATAAATTCGTTTATTGATTATATCTTAGAAAGAAAAAAATACATCAGTAATTAGATATAGAAAATTCATTGACAAATTCAGTAGATGCATAGCACAAACTAGCCAGGTAATTAGATCCCTAAAGGTTTGAGTACTTTGCCCCCAACAGAAGGAACTGGAATCTTTGAATATATAATAAAAATTTTTAAAAAAAAATTATTTGTCTGTAAAATGGCAGGGTGGGGAGGTTGGGTAATTTTCTTTTACAGTTCTTTATTTTATTTTTTTTATTTTTTTTTTTTTTTTGCTTATTTTTAAGTAACTTTGCTGTTTTTCAACTTGTATATTTATTTTACATCCTGTTGCTATCCATGCATTGATTTTAGTATGGGACTCCTTTTCTTTTTTTTTTCTTTTGTTTTCCTCCTTAATCATTATTGCTGATCAAAAGAAATTAAAAAAAAGGAAAAAAAAAAGCCTGAAATCACTGCCTCAGCAAATAAATAAATAATTGGATCAAGAATCCCAAACCTTTTCAAATTGACTGCCCCACATTCCTATCCCTTAATCTATCACTGGTTTTAGTCCTTCTCAGAACACATTATCTTTGATAAAATGATAATGTGCTACACATTTATATTGTCACTGACATAATGGACCAAAAGAAATGAATGATTTCAATGTTAATCATTTTTATGATTGCTGAACTGCTATGTAATATCAGTCCACAGTGAATGTTGAACTATTTCCTCACAGATGAAGCAAAGTCTTGAAGCTATAAAGAAGTACTTTTACAGATGGGTACTAAGAATACTTAGAACATGAGAACAAGAAGAAAGTCTAAAGGATACTTGAAACAAAACGTACACTTAGAATCAAAAAGATACAGTTGAAATTTCTTGGTCACATTCAGAGGAAAGAGGGTGTTAACTATACAATTCATATGTTATACAGAGGACTTAGAGAATTTGACACTCACAGGTCCTATTGAAGAAGCAGAGCAAAACTGCAAGTAACCTACCTAATGAGTTTGTCTGAATAAATGGCAAAACAATGACTAGAAGGTATAATAAAGAAATAAACCTTATTTAGAGCTACAAAGGATAGGAAGCTATAGAGAGCCATGATACCCAATGCACTGAAAGACATGGTACACAAAAGAAGATTATAAAGTGTTTAGCTCATATTGTTCTCTCTCTGATGGATTTTCAGGATAGAAATTTACTATTTCATTCAGTTGAGGATAAAAGAAGCTAGCCATTACTTGGTATAGTAATCTTCTAGTAATGGGTGTTCGACATTTCTTTTCGATATCCTGTTGTTGATTAAAAGAGCTGAAATACTTGTTTCATACAGGAAAGAAAGTAGACAGAGATGATGATAACCTTTTTGTTTCCAAGATGAAAATGCCTCTGCCAGATTATTGTCACAGGCAACCATTTCCTCAGTCTTCTCTTCAATGTCTGCATCCTGTGCTACAATAATGTCTCTAATTATGAGTGTGTGCTTTTGGCTCTTATTAATAAACAGCTAAAACTTCCTTTTGTGGTCTCAGGTTTCAGGAGAGTAATTTCATGCATGCATGCACACATGTGTGTGTATGTGTGGTGCACATGTGTATGCATGTTCGCATACCATATTTTCTTGTGTATAATACAAGAAATTCTAAATGAAAATTAAAGGGAAATAAGTGGGGTCGTATTATACACAAGTACACGTTTTCAGAAATTTTTAATCAGTTTAAAAAACCTCTTATTTGAAACAGCAAAATTTGCAAATGCACTCAGTTTTGCTCACAAGATAAAGTTTGTTTATATTTTGTTTTTCTTGTATATTTATAAAGTTTTCTTTCTTCAGTCTTAATGAAAGACAATATTTTTTATTTTCATAGTTTATTAATATGTAAAAATATAATAAGGTTGTATGAAACACAAAAGTATGATCGATTAATTAACACCTTGAAATGTATGACCAGGTATGTCTAGTTAACACATTTCTCCAAAATTCGGAAATAAGGTTAGGAATGGAAATTAGAAAAAACAACGTGCGACGGTTAAACATTCAGTTTAGATTCAGTTTGAAAAACTAGATATTTTAATGAAATATATGTATAACATTGAGATTTTAATGGATAATAAGGTAAAACTTTTTGAAAAAAAATTGCATAGAGATGGTTGTACTCTGGGGTTGACTTTATACTCAAGGATGTATTTTTATTTCATGTTTTTAGCTTCAAAAATATGGGGTCATATTATACTAAAGTTATATTATACACAAGAAAATATGATATATATGTGTAATTGTAGGATGTAGTATCCAAAACAAAAATGGAGATGATGAGACAAAGTAGAAAAGCTTATAAAGAACGTGTTTCACCAACGGCTGTTGGTCTCAGCTTCTTTCAGTCGGAATGAAAGACAAAATTGTGTGTAAGGAAAATACGTCTATATCATCATTATCATCAAGAAGCCACCACCACAAGCAGAATGTAACCACACTAATGCACAACACATTTAAAAATATAAATAAAAGCAAGAACAGGAAGGTAGTGGGGGTGTTGAGAAGTTAAATAAATCCCCAACTCGTTAAAGAAAATAAATCAAATCATACCTCCTCCTTTTCGCTCTTTTTTATTTCTTTTTCCATTTTAATTTTTTTTTTCAATCTGTACATGCTATACACATTCTATTACAGTTGATTGATTTTCCCAAATTATTCTAATCCCCCCCCCACCTCCTGCTTTGGATTGGGAATAGGTTTATGGTACTTGAGGGGGTCTGACATCCCAAAAGAGGAGTAAGTGAAAGAAAGAGCTGTTTTGTGTCTATATAGTAGGGATCATCATCCATCCAGGATTTGATCTTGGCACTAGAACTGGAGTGGACAGTTGTCAACGCAGGGAACAACTATGTGTGTGTTGAACAATTGAAGAGTGGATGAGGGAAAATGAACATTCTCTTCTACAGCCATTAATTCTGTCAATCACTCCAATAAATATCCCTCTTTCCACTATACCCACCCACTTTATCTGTTTTTTCCCCCCCAAATACTCCACCAGTTGAATGACTGGTAAAAAGATAAAGTTACTTTATTGCAATTACTATGTTTCATTTGAATGTTACTGTTAGAAGATTTATTGAATTTATTACACCCAACTGTTTTCCTCTTGTCCCTTCTCAGATTTCTGCTTTCTTGTCCTGCCCTACTCATTCTCCCACTTTTATTTATTCCTTCATCTCTCTTCTCCCACTTTTTTCTTCTCTCATTCAATTATCCTTCTTTCCCTTACTCTTTATGTTCTGACTTTAAATGTTAATCACCTTCTTTTTCTGTCAGGCCCTTTTTCTCTTTTCCATTTGATCTTCAGTAGCTTCCCCCTTTTTGCCTTTTAGATTGTTCTTTCTTTCTTCTATTTCCTTCTCTTTTATCTTTTACCTCTCCCAGTTTTTCTTTTAATCTCTTTCTCTCTCTTCTCTCTTTCTTTTACTATTGAACCTCTTTTTCTATTCCCCCATTGTTCCTTAACCTTCCTTTCTCTATATTTTTATTACATTGTCTTTCTTCCCCTTTTCTCTTCCACCATGACCTTTTTCATTCTCTTTTTTTCCTTAATCTTTCTTTCTCTACCTCTGCTCTTACAATGTCTTTCTCACCTATTTCTCTTCCACCATGTCTTCTTTTTCCATTCTCTTTGTTCCTCATTGTCTTTCTTCTCTTTTTCTCTTCCACCATAACTTTTTTTCCCATTCTCTTTGTTCCTTAATCTTTCTTTCTCTATCTCTGCTTGCATTGTCTTTCTCACCTATTTCTCTTCCACTAGCTCCTTCTTTTCCATTCTCTTTGTTCCTTAATCTTTCTTTCTCTATCTCTGCTTGCATTGTCTTTCTCACCTATTTCTCTTCCACTAGCTCCTTCTTTTCCATTCTCTTTGTTCCTTAATCTTTCTTTCTCTATCTCTGCTCCTGCATTGTTTTTCTCACCTATTTCTCTTCTACTATCTTCTTCTTTTCCATTCTCTTTGTTCTTTAATCTTCCTTTCTCTATATTTTTTTACATTGTCTTTCTTCCCTCTTTCTTTTCCACCATGTCCTTTTTCCATTCTCTATATTTGGTTTTACATTGTCTTTCTCAACTTTTTCTCCATTATTGCTTGTTCCTCACCTCATCTACACTTGTTTGTTTTATATATTCTCACATATTTTAATTTTCATTTCTTTTTCTTTTTTATCTCCCTTATAATTTCTTTCAGTCCCTTTGCCTTCCATTTTCTCAATTTCACCTTTCCCCTCTTCAGATTCTCCTCCCACTCTATTTCTCCTTTCTTCTCCCTCCTCCTCTCTCTCATTTGTTTAATTTCATTTTATACTACTTACAGACAATAACAAAGTTGCTGTGGAAAGCACATGACACTCATTATGCTTTTTGCAAAAAGATTTTCCTCCTCTGCAAAAGTCTACAAATTTTCATTTATACCTGTTTATTTTTATTTTCTTCTATTTCCCTGTGTTAAGAATTACAAGTGCAAGTGGAACGTGTCTTCCATCAGAAGCATGTTTTATGCCATCAGCAATTTTATTACATGTTCTTGATCATTATTGCAATTACATCAGTGTTGACTTTCTCTTCAGATTATGTAATTCACTACACACTTAAATCTATGACCTAAGCATTTGTTCTGCATTTAAGAATTTTGTGCTCACACACTTTAGGATACATGAAGGATATTTAATCCTTAAATGGTGAGAAAAGGTTTCACAAGTGTTCATGCCAAATGGGTAAAAAGAATGAGAAAATACATTTTTTAGAAGGTAGTTTTTATGTTTATTTTTTATTTGATTACATATGAAAACTATAAAAACGATATTTTAACTTTTAAATGATAGAAATAAAGAAAAAAAAAGGGAAATAAATAAATGTTAGGTTCCTAGCTTAAATATTTTTTGACAATACGATGCATGGTAAATGTTCTGATGAACTCTCTTCTAAGGATGGTGGAGTAATGCATAGCAGCTCAGATTGAGGAATCGAAGAGCCGAATTCAAATTCCAGTCAATTCCATTGCATTCACTTACATGATAAAACCCTTAGGAAAGGTATGACTTCTCTTTTTCTCCCCCCAGCTATGGGTAAATAGCAGGACAAACCGAATTCAATAGCCTTGGATGGCAACTGGTATACTGCAGAAAGAAATAGCAGCCTATTGCAGGAAAAAATCTGCCTCGTCAGTCATGTATCGAAAGATACATAATCACCTAAATGTGTATCATGTATGGCACATAACTGAACTGAACTAGATTAACAGCAAGATTCCATCATTTTATAGTGGAAATAGATAGATGTAACTGTAAGTTCTCTACTGACAGTTTCCTCTGTTGCACTTGTGGAACTCTCTTCTGGCTTCTTGCTTTCCAGTTAACTTTGATTTTCAAAAATTTAAATTCAATGTCATTTGTTATCTTCTGTCTTTTTAATTCCTGTTCATTTATTGTTCATTCTCCTTAATAATGTTTTCTTCCATACTCAGTAACCCTCTGTGTATTACTAGATTTGTTGCCTTGCTTGTGATGAAATGATTAAAACATTGTTAAATATATATATATATATATATATATATATATATATATATATATGACCAAAACACACTTCGTTTTTAGGTTTGGGAATTATGTTTCTTATCCATACCATTTAACAAGAAACAGGCACAATGATCCTCCATGAAACATTCAATTGAGTTCTGCATTCTCAGTTGTCACTATGTTTTTCTTCTTTTACAATGCAAAGTATGCATATAGACATAATAACATCTTTGGCTTCTTCTTCCAGATTTATTTGCAAACAAATACTCCTGTTTAAGGCTTAATTCCTAGTTTTACAAAATCCTAGTTCCTCTTGAATAAAATATTTCATATATTAATTGTTATTCTGATAGTGAAGAATTTATAAATTTCAGAATAGACTGGCACCAGCAAACAGGTCTCCTTTCTGGTAGCCAATCTTTGACTCTTGAAATTTGTGATTTGTGGTCTTTTTATAGATATTTACTAAGCCCAATATTTTTAACTTTGTTAAGTTTGAGGGATTATTCAAAATTGCAGGAATTCAACTAGGAAAAAATACTTACTCTAAAGTATTATTTTCATCATTTCCTTTGAAATAGCTCAATAGTCACAACCTAAATTATGGTTGCAAGGATGCTGCTTAAGGTTGTAGAATGGTTGAAAACAAAAACAAGAGAAATAAGGAAAGAGCGTTAAAAGTAAAAAAACTAATTCAAAATTGTTTATATTCCAGTTTCGGAATACAAGAATAAAGGGTCAATGAGATTTTGGAATAAGGAAAATAAAGCATCATTAAACATCTTAAAACTCTTTACATATTCCTGTCTGTCCACATTCAATACTAGATGTAGTATAATGATTTGCAAAATGTTCATATCTATCATTACCTTTTCTTTTGCTTTTTTTGCTCTTTCTTTCTTTCTTTCACTCTCCCAAGTACTCTTCTCTTTGCTTTCTCTACTCTTGAGTCTCTTTTTTCTGATCTCTTTGCTTTCTCTAATATTGGTTCCATATCATGTTGTAAAATTCGTGTTCCAGCATATATTTATGTTCAAGATTGTATAGCATCAGTATTTAGTGGCCAGGTCAAATATCTTATGTTTTGGGGCTTTGATCTTTCCTTGTAGAAAAAGTAGACCAGATGGTATACCTGCTGTTGGTATATTTACTGAAATATATCAAAGCACAAATTATTACACAGGTTGAAACTTCAGAATTAAACCCATAAAGATCTGGACATTCTTCTTTTATCTGCTATGTATCTTCAGGACGTGGGTGATAATGACTCTCCTTAACTTTGTTGCTTTTAGTAATGTGTATCTTTTCACTAACCTTTCTGTGCTGCCATCTATTTAAACAAACTTGTTAAGTAGGTTATTTTCTACTTTCTTCTGTCCCTCTTGCCTTCAATATATGCTGTGAGTATCAAATTTTCCAAACCCTCTTTCCTCATTATGACCCTGAGAAATTTCAACTGTCTTTTTCTTATAAGTATAAGCATTTTTTTGTATCAATTTTTTTAAAACTTTCTCATTACTCACATGTTCTGTCCATGGTATTCTCAACATCCTTCTGTAGAACCACAATTCCTTGAATCTCTAGCACCACAACTACTAGTTTATATTGCTGACTGTCTTTTGTTGCTATTTCTCTAATGATTTAAGAAATGTCACTATATCTCTTCCTCAACAGTCTAACCTCAACTGCTTAAGTTAAAGCTTTTAATCTGTAACCAAAGATCCTCGTGTCCTTTTCTTCAGTGAAGATTGTTCTTAGTGTTGTTTCATACATATATATATATATATATATATATATATATATAATCCTCTTGAGTAGTACTTGGTTCTTGGTTCAGCTTGTTTGGTTTTTCTTTTACATTATGTCAAACTACCTAGAGACTTAGAAGAAGTTAAAAGAGAAAAAAGACCTAAGTAGGCTTATAAGGTGAACAATGTGTTTGTTTCTGGCATTTTCTAAGATTTAAGAAAGGCTTATATCCATTATAGAGACGTTTTTATTTAGACACAAATAAATTCTTGAATCAGCATTATTGATTACTCTTTCAAATGTTATATGCATATAATATATTTTTTTCATAAGTATGTACATGATATATATGGAATATTTAATCCATCATATTTAAACAGGAATATGGCTTTAACTTGTCGGAAATGAATTTTTATTTCCTTCAGCAGTTGGAAGAGCATTTTGCAGTAAAAAGAACATATTTATTTAGAAATACTTACATCTGTATGGTGTACACTGCTATAAATCAATTAACTTATCACTTACATTTATGTAACTCAGTATATGTTTGTGTGTATATGTATGTATATATTTATATGAAAAGTAGATTCAAGTAGTGAATTTTATCATTCTTACCATAATAAATCATTGAGAATATATAAACATTTTCTCTCTTTTCTCTTTCTCTCTTTCACACACACATACAAATGGAAGAATATGATAGATAAACTCTATATATCAGCCAAGTCATGAGTAACTGAAATGACGAAATGGAAAAAGGTCCTATGTGACATGTTTCATCTTTCAAAAAGACTTCTTCAGATTAAATGAAGATTTTATTCATGGGATCATATATGTAGGTGGAGGAAATGAAATATAAACGAATGTCATTTTTCTCAATGTTTAATTGTAATCAATATTTATTTGTATTTCCTTCCACCCACCATTCCATGCCATCAATAAAAACATTATTTAGTCTGAAGAAGTCTTTTTGAAGGATGAAACATATCACATAAGACTTTTTTCATTTTGTCATTCGATTACACATTATCTTAGTCAAACACACACACACACACACACATATATATAGGTTAAAATTTGGTATATTTATAGAGGAAGAGTGATCAATATCAGAAATAGAGCATTTATAGATATGAACAGAGTGGACATAGGAATCAACACTACATGGTAACTATCAATTTCATGTGTCAATGCAATCTTCAGACCTGGCTACACTAAAGTTGGATAGTAAACACAGTAGGAAAAGACTAGGCAGAATGTAGTAGGTTGGTTAAAGGGAGTTACAATGATTGCTGCTTAGTAGTTTGAGGTTGATGTTCATATTGATTTTATATATATATCAGACAGTTTTGTCTTTCATTCCAAACTGAAGAAGTGAAGCCTAACATGTCACATAAGCAAAACATTTTGTTTAAAAGCTTTTTTACTTTCTCATAATATATATATATATATATATATATATATATATATCATAGTTCAGTGAGAGCTTGTAGTAATAAATGATGAGGAATAAAATGTATGTTTATTATTAGGATACATAAGTGGATACTGGGTTAATGCCGATTAGCAACAATCTGTTTCCTGCTTAAATGTAATCTTCAGACTATTCACATAGCCTGAAGATTGTATTCAAGCATGAAACAGACTGTAGCCACTTGGCTTTAACCCCTAAAACCCCAATGTCTGCTTTTATATTTACATATGCTCTATCCCTGATATTGACCACTTTTACCTATAAATACAGCATACCTTAAACCTATATTTTTATCATATATATATATATATATATATATATATATATATGTGCACACACATGGGGGCAGGGTTAAGAAGTTTTCAATCTGACCTAGTAGCCCAGATGTTTGCTCATTTGGTCAGATATTAGAAAGTTTGCAGAACTAAGAACTTTTTAGCACTTCCTTGTATATGACTCATTCCTTTATTTGATATATATCTGTGTTTTATTTCCCCTTGGTATCTTTATTTTTGGGTTCAATATAAAGATTCACTTATGACATTGATGTTTTTTATTTTTATTATTTGTTACACATTTCATTGCTTTGTTTTGAGCAACATTGATTTTGGATTGGTTGGGGCCACTTTGAACTTTACGATTTGACACCAAAAAGAACTCTTAACTGAACTTGATATCAGCAGTTCTTGACTTTTTTCTTTCTTAAATCTTTATTAAATAATACAACAATAGAAACAAAAAAGTGAATTTGCCTTTGAAGTTTGCATTACCTCAAGTTTTGCAGCCTTCTCAATTTTTTTTTTTAATTTTATCATTCTGGTCTTCACTCCATCTTTCTTGGCCAGCAGCAGTTGAGATTTTCTTTCCAGCATTTTGTAGTAAATTTGCCACAGTGGACTTCAGAATGAAAAGAACTGAAATAAAAGAAAAAAATATTTATCATTAGTTTGATTTGATTACTATGAGAAAAGAAAAAAATTACTTGGAGAATTCTCTTATATTCAGTCAACACCTCCAGTAATTTTGCAGTAATAACAAAAACACTACATCACTGTGATCTAATGTGCATGGTGCGTGTTTTGGCTTTTCTTATTGCATATTGATTAATATTAAAACACACTGTTACATTAAGTATTATTCATACAGATATTATTTCCAATCATTATCATCAGTCTCATGACTGTCTGTAGTTATAGTGTTGCTGTGCAGCTGAGCACCTGACCAACTCCCTACATATGTCTCAGTTGCATGTCAATATCTGAGTCACTGTGAATGATCTTCCAGTCCACTCAGTGACATGGTCAGACCATTACCCACCCCCAACTGTTTACCTCTTCTTCTTTTGCCTGAGGTGGTACTTTGTAGGATGTCAGTGGAAAGATTGTTGGTTCTTATGACATGTCAGTACCATTTCAATAATATGCATGTTGCATGTTTTGGCTTTTCTTATTGCATATTGATTAATATCAAAACATGCTTAGAAAACAGCAATGATAATTTTGAAGAAATAACTTTGAATTCCTCAATTCACTCCATGGAACTTCAAAACATCACTTTAACTCTGATTCAGGCTTTCAGTTCAATTCTAGCCAAAAGACCAATTTAGGCTGAAACTCTAATTCAAGATGAAAATAGAGTTCTTCAAATCATAAACTCTCTGGAATTTCACAACTTCACATCTTGAAAACTCTCACATTAACTCTTAGCCCTCACCAACAAATTCAGGAGTTCTTTTCTTATCAGAACAATCAGGCTTAGTTTTCCAAGTTGCTGTACCTTTGTACACCCAAATACTCTGAAATGACACCCCAATATTCAGAAATGTTTGAATTGGAACTTCAGGTGTGAATGTCAAGCAGTACAGCATGCCATTTCCAAATTTCTGGCCGAGTGAATTGCATCATGGTGCTCTTTTTCTCACAGATGGTGCCCAACTCACCCCACTATACTGTGCAGTTGAGAAAATAAAAAAAACAATGTGCATACACAAAATTAAAAATATAAAATGGCCTGCAATTTATCCATCACACCCTCTGTGTGTGCATGTGTGTATGTATATATAGTGATAATGAGACAAATTGGAAAAGCTTTCAATTGACATGTTTCATTGATATGACATGTTCCTGGTGAAATTTTTCTGTTCCTTAATATTTTGCTTGGCTTTTAGAAGGTAACTTTAACTATTCCAATGCATCTTAAAGCAAAATGTATAAGAAAAGCAGTGAGAAAGAAAATTACATTAAAAGGAAAAAACAAGAGATGTAAATAATACTCTCTGCCTGAGATTAGAATTTTTTACCCTGAATTAAAGTTAACATATTTCTTGTCTAAGGTAATTTTTATTAAGAAATATCTTCAAGCTGACAGATTTTGTGCAAACTATGATATATACATGAAAATCTTCTAAGTTGTCTTTCTATTACACATAAAGTGGTCAGCTACCATGGAATAATAGACATTTTTTTAGATCATATAATAAAAGTGACTCATGCTATCAACTCAAATACTCTAGTATATTTGTCTAAATAAGCAGTTTATTTATTAGATTAACTATGTATGTAATCTCTTGAGTCTAATTTTCTGTATCATGGAAATGTAATAAATATCTTGAGAAGTAGACTGTCAAGTAATAAAAATGATCTGTCTTCAAATTTCGTTGAACTAACAAACCATCCTAATGCAGTATTTTGATTTGAATCTGAGATCAGTCTGTTTTTAGTTTGTGTCTCTACCACTTGTATGTTTGAACACTTAGATATCACTCAAATTTAGTACATATTTCTCTATTTTCAGGTTTAAGTGCAATGAGTTTTTGAATAGTTGA